ACTTTTTCTAAATGTCACTATTACTAATTTCTTATACTAAATGTCACTATTACTAATTTCTTATACTAAATGTCACTATTACTAATTTCTTATACTAAATACTAAATTACTAATTTATTGCGATGAACTTTTAAATTCATTTCAATTTTCGTCAAAGAATGATTTAACGTACTTCGTATATATATTTAACATATATCAAATAAATTAGATTTCGAATGATCAGTCAAACAATTTTATGACTACAACTTACAATAAGTTACAAAATAATCTACTTTTAATAAATAATTTTCTTTAGTTATATATTACTTATTGCTAGTTTTTGAACTTGTCTCCAACCGTGCTCGCTTTGCTAAGCTTCGATATTGCTCATTCTTGTATTGGCAATTATTGGAAACATTTGGAGGTGCCATGTTCTCATTATCTTCTTGAGATAATAACATGTCTGCAGAATTTCTCAGTTCACGATCCTGTAACCAGGGATGTAACAAAACTTGTTTTATACTGATCCTTTTTTTTGGGTTGACTGTCATCATACGTTGAATCTAAAAACAGTGTCAGGAGAAATGAAAATTATGCATACCATTAAGTAAAAATTACATTTTATATAGTAATCATACCAGGTCTATGGCTTTATTGGTAACATGACCAAATTTTGTAGAAGGAAAGCTGTAGCATCCTTTTTTGATTTGCTCTTGTAAACTGATTTTTTTATCCTGGCAATTAAAGGGAACTGAACCACTTAAACAAGCATATAATATTACTCCTAGACTCCATACATCCACCTGATAACAGAAAAAATGTTAAAACTAATGAAATTTATTGTTTTTAATATTTATATATTTTAAAAGAAATATAAACATACATACTTGATTCGTATACGAACCACGTCCAATATTAGATAATATTTCTGGGGCAACATACATAGGAGTACCACAAAAAGTTTTCATCATAGTTTGTGCATCAACTAATTTTGATAAACCAAAATCTGATACTTTAGCTAATGTAATATCTGAATGACTAGCTAACAATATGTTTTCTGGCTACAAGAAGAAGAAGTAAGATTTGTTTAGTACTACTCTCATTTAACATTGAAGAAGAAAATACATTTTTCGAAAACATACCTTCAGATCTCTATGTGTTATACCAGAGTCATGAAGGTAACTAACAGCAAGTACAACTTGATAAAATATTAATTTTGCACTCTTTTCTGTCAACCTTCCCCTGCTTTTAATCCTTTCGAACAGTTCACCACCCTCCATTAGTTCTAAAACTATATACACTGCCTTCGGAGTATCTACAATATCTTCCATTCTAATTATACAAGGCTAAAATTGAAATACTTGTTAATGGATTATATAAATATAGCAAGACACAATTTAGTTGAACTTACATGTTTTAGAGCTTTTAATATTTTGACTTCATTCATAATTTTTTCTGGATTATTTAATGAATTCTTTGTTCCATTCGTCATGTTACCCATTTTCAAAATTGTCTTCATGGCAAATTTTTTACAACCAACTTTTGAGAAAACCAATTTTACCTCTCCACATGCTCCACACCCTAATTTACGTGACACAGCATATCTGCTTTTGAGCTCTGGAGGCAAGTCATTGGTTTCAAATGCACTAGTACTCATGAACACATATACTGTTTCAAACATATAACAATATAAAGAATAACTACCATTGCACAATCAAATGACTTGTGATTAGACTGCAGATCTTTATGCAAATAAAAATTTTGTTGCAAGGATCAGGAACTGCATATTAATTTATGTTTCAAATACATAATATAATCAAATTATAAAATTTATGTAATATATAATATCAGTGTTTTGTGTTTCATCTACTCATTTTTATCATAAATGCATAAAATCCACAATCTACTTATGATAGATATTATAGTTACCAGTGACAATAGGTTGTGCTAACGATATAATATCGTTACTTTCAAGTACAACTTTATTTCCACGGCCAACTTTCTGTTTATTAACAAAAGTACCATTTTGACTTAAATCTTCCAAATATACTACAGCATCATTGGAGTTATCATCAATATATTCTCTGGTTATCTTAAAGTGTACTTTGCTCATCACACTAACCCATTTTGGTTTTAAATCGTTGTTAGTTATACAAATATCACAGCTTTCTGATCGACCAAGTGTATATATATCCTTGATCAATTCTATATTAGCAATTATACACATTTAGAAGTTAGCATACCATATATATGTATATTAACACATTCATACCGATGTCCATCTCTATGCATCTACACATCAGACAATGCGTAGTACTTACTGCTGCCTTATACAATTTTTGGTAATTTATAGATCAATTTCTAATAACTCAACAGCATCGTATGTCGTGATTTATTTAATGCTCACTAATAAGTAAATTTTAGTATTGGAGAGTTGAAATATAACATTATACAGTAGTGCCCAATGCAAGAACATGTAACATATTTAGTGGACTACACTAGTATGAGTATGTTAAATAATATTTACTATGAAAATATACTTACCCATTGTTTTAAAAGGTAACTTAATGGGGCATAGTCTCCCCCAGATAGTCATAGTTTTTTCTTGTGACAAATCTTGAGATTGAGACTGGGTTAAACATACCGAGTCCGCGTTTTGAGTATCAGGTAATGTTAAAACAATATGTTCATCGTTCATAGTTACAAATATTTTAGAAATATCCAGAAATGAAAAATTCTGAAGTAATTTTATAACTTTATTAAGGAATTATGACGAATCTTTAAACAAACGTAGTAAGCATGGCACGACTTCAATCCAGAACATAATTCACGAAGTATGTAAACACATTTTTGAAATCGCGGTACATACTATAAGCTGTAGATAAATTAGGTATTTTCAGTATCTATACAATTTGAAATTTAAGATAGAGGTCGCCAACGTCACAAATATTTTATTACGTCGATACTATAGATTCTGAGGAACAATAAAACTTATAAAATGAATAATCAATCCTATTTTATGTTATGATACATATTGACAATAGAACAAGAATATTTAAGCAATGATATGTATTTTTATTAAGGATATGTTTATACTATTATAAGCGTCTATATACAATATTTTTTGGTAGTTATTTTTATACGAATGCTTCCATTGATTTTTCAGTTGTATACATACTATTTTGTATTTCTTATTACCTTTTCCGTAGTTTCTAAATTGATGTAAACAATTCATCAAATTTTTATGTCTTTAATATAGCAATTTTCAGTGTCTAAAATTGTGTAGTGTAACTATATTCACGTAAAAGAATTTATTATTGAAAATTTCAATTACTTTCACTGATATTAAAAAACAAATCATCTATAAAATTAACATTTCCCATAATAGTAAGCAGTAGACATTGTTATGAATATCTATCATTATATACTTCTTAAT